TCCGGGTCATGGTCCTCAAATTTGGCTCAGAATAAACCTTCTTAAATTATTTTACAGAGTATGGCTTCTTTTCCATCAACAAATGAATGAAAAAAATAAGAACTAGGGATCCTTCTAATATTTTCTTTTGTAGGAGTTGGAATGCTTAAGCGGAGGAGATAAAAATAATACCTGGCCACATTGTACTTGACTCCAATTTGAAACCGTCATCTAATGGAGACAAATCAGATCTTCAACCTTTTTGATTCTTTGATGACAGTAGATGGATTGCCAAATAATAGTGGGAAATACAGTGCATGTTTTCCTAGTGATTGTTAGGCAGCGTTTTTTTCTGCTTTTGATATTTGGTATGTGCCAGCTTCTCTATTTTCTTAAGATGTCCATTTCACCCACTTCTATCATAAATGATGCTAAAAGGAAACCTGATAAATTTTTGGCCTCTAAATGTTGCTGGTGTTTGGGGGAAAGCAATGCTGCTTGTTTGTTTGGGTTTCAGTGGCATTTAAGGAACCAACGTGAAATCAGTCATCCACACAGAAATAGCAGTCTTTTTTTTTTTTAACCTTATAAAAAAGTGTCCTTATAAAAAAGATGGAAGGGGGCAGCTCTCCCCTTCTGCCACGGGAAACACAGCCACAAGGACCCATCTACCCAGAAGAGAGCAAGGCCTTACCAGACACCACCAGATCACACCCCAGCCTCGGGAACTATAATAAGTTTCTATTTCTCATAAGTTATCCACTCTAAGTTATTTTGTTATGGGAACCCAAACAGACTCAGACAAATGTAAATTCCATAAGAAAGCTGCCCAGTCTTTAACCCAGTCCATACACAGAGGGGGTGATCAGCTCAATAAATATCTCATTGACTGGCCCTAGATGGTCTCCTATTGTTAGATTCAGGGCAGTCTAGTCAGAGTAAAGGAAGGAGAGTGTAAGGTGAAGAAGGGAATTGACTCTGGTTGAGGTCCCAGCTGTGGCCAAACCAGAAGGGACTCTGGAGCTTCCTGATGCCATAATACCATGGCTGTGAATTCATCTTTTAGGGAAAATATTATGTTTATTCTGATAGTTGCTGATAACTTTGAATTTAAATTGTATTTTTCTTGGAGTAGTGATTTTTTTCTACCCTGAGAACATTGAAAAGCCTCTCTTCTAAACACTTTAGCTTGTAACATACTTTAGCTTACAGTCATTACCATGTGTAAAAAAATAAATAAAAATTTAAAATCACCAAAGAAGAGAAAAGGAAAAAGAACAGGACATGTTGTTTATATATTGTGTACAGTCGGCATGCACATGGACATAAATTAAAGCAAACCTCGAAAAGAAATTGAACACAGAACACAGGCACTGTGAGTATATTTTGAGTGCTGTATGTACGCGTGTGTGTAATTCTGTTTTACATGTATGTTGTATATAAACTATATGTTAGATATATATAAATAACATAACTCAATGAATAAACGGTCTTTAAGCATTTAGAAAAGATCAGAGGTTTTTGTGAACACAGCAGATATAAAAAGAAACAGTTTTTATACTTTAAAATAATACTTAGAATCTGGCCTAATCTGACGTCTAAACTTTAAAATTCACCAGTAAGATGAGTTTTACACTCTGTAACACAGATGATTGTCCTTTATTGAAGTAACCAGAATTTTTCCTTTTTTCTCTAGAGATTCTAGATACAAATCACGGTTTTGTTTCCTTGGTTTAAATGAGGTCCTCTTTGATCATTACTCCACACAATGAAAAGATATTTCCTTGTGCAAAGTAGTGGTTAACTTCTCACAACCTCATTCAACAAAGGGGCCCCTGTGTGAGGACGCAGGAATTCCTCTTGGAATACAGGGAAGGCCCCAGCTGAATCGTATCTAAGGAAGATGTTGCAAAGCTTGCAAAGCTTGTTCTGAGAAAAGAGCCCAGCTTGAGCTCTTTGCTTTCTATTCAGATATGGGCCCCACTTGGGGCTGGGGGAGGGGAAACCCATCAAAGCAAAAGAGAAAACAAACCTGAATGCCTCGACACATGACAAGGAAATGTTAATTCTTGCAAGTAGCGTTGGGTTGGTGCCAACTCATGCTTATCATATTTAGAACTTAGTTGCTCTTGGAAAGAAACTTTGTTACTCCTGTCGTCGAAGTTAAAGAAGGTAACTCAGATAGACTGTCCCTCTGTGGCATAAACTCATAAAAACCCTGTCTGTGTGTGGTAAGTCCCAGGCTGGCTCTGTTCACCTGGGCTAGCTGCGCTCTGCCGCACCAGGGGGTCTAGGCTTACCATAATGAGCGCAGATTCTCAGCATCAGGCCCTTCCTGGTATTCAGGGCCCCTCCCCACCTAATCCTACCCCACCCTGATGGATTGATCTCCCACTGTGCTTTCTTTCCCACCACCCACAAACCTTCCCCACCAGCCTGCAACCTTCCTCATGTCCTGCAACCTTCCCTCCCCCAACTGGGTGGGATGATTTACAGAATATAAAGTACCTACCGGTGGGCGTGGCATGTCCTGGGTAAATGTTGATTCCCTTTCTCTTCTTTTTCCCTTTGCCCTTTGAACAGAAATTCCCCTTTCTGTTAGAGCAGTTCTTGGGCAATGATAGATTCTTTTTCTTTTCCTTTCTCTATTTCTTTTCTTTTCTTTCCTTTTTTTTGGGGGAGGGGGGGACAGAGTATCACCATGTCACCCTCTGTAGAGTGCCAGGGCATCAAAGCCCACCTCAAACTCTTAAGTGCTTCTCTTGCCTCAGCCTCTGGAATAGCTGGGACTACAGGCGCCTGCCACAACGCCTGGCTATTTTTTGGTTGCAGTTGTCATTGTTGTTTAGCAGGCCCAGGCCGTGTTTGAACCCACCAGCTTTGGTGTATGTGGCCAGTGCTCCACTCACTGAGCTACAGATGCTGAGCCTCGATGATAGATTCCTGAATGAATGCTGGAAACAGTGGTGATGACAGAATGAGAGGGGAGCGGAGTCTGGATCCCTCTACCAGCCTGCTCTTTGAATGCTGGGAGTAACAAGGAAAGAATGGCCACAGCCATTTTTGTGCTTTCGCCACCTGCTTGTCCTGAGTCATGTGTCATCTCTACACCCCCATGAAGGAATGAAGACACAGAGAGGTTGAGAGATTTGCTTGAGGCCACACAGTTTACAAGTGGAGCTAAGATTCAAACTTGAGAGTTACTAGTTGGCAGAGCCCACCCCTCTTTCCATATGCAAAAGTCCCTTTCCAAAGATTCCCAGTGAGCCGGTCACCAGCAGTATTTGTCTCCAATCCCTGTAGGTGGTTGGACTGTACAGGAGAAGACATACCCCTGCCTAACTCAGGGATAGCTCCACTTGAAAGCTAAATTGCTAGCAAAGTAAAAATTCCATTCCATGGACAGATAAGTTAGCTGGTAAATATCATGCAAGTTTCTGTTTGCGAACAGACCACGTACCGTGGTGCTTCAAGGGTTTACTGTTGTCCTTGAAGATGCTGAGAAACCTCCATCCTGACTAGCACCATCGAACAGGACTTTCTGTGATCACGCAATGTGCTGCGTCCACATTGTACAACACAGTAGCCACTAGCCACACGTAGCATTTGAGCACTTGAGGTAAGACTGGTTAGTTTATCTGAGAAATTTGAACATTTTTTCTTTTTCAGGTTAATGTGAAGGTACAAACAACCAGGTCACAATATTTGAATGTGTGTCCCGCACCCAAAAGGTGTGCATACGCCCGTACCTTGTGCCCAGTAAGTGGGAGCACTCCAAACATCTCTTTCCCTCATCCCGGTTCTCCCTCCCCACAACTTAAATTGAAATGAGTTTTTCTCCTAGGTGGGCATGAATTACTTCATCTACTGGCTTCGTATTAATATTGAATACATTGGATATTTGCTTTTTCATTCTAGTGAGACTTTCTTGAGAAGAATGTGTTTCAACTCCATCCAGGTTAATACAAAAGATGTAAAGCCTCCATCATTTTTATGGCTGAATAGCATTCTGCAGTATACAAGTACCTCAGTTTATTAACCCATTCATGAATCGATGGGCATTTAGGTTGTTTCTGCATCTTGGCAATTGTAAATTGAGCTGTGATAAGCAATGTAGTGCAAATGTCTTCATGATAAAAGGACTTTTTTTCTTCTGGGTAGATGCCCAGTAGTGGGCTTGTGGGGTCAAATGGGAGATCTAATTTTAATTCTTTGAGGATTCTCTATACGTCTTTCCAAAGAGGCTATATTAGTTTGCAGTCCCACCAGCAGTGTAAAAGTGTTCCCCTTTCTCCACATCCATGCCAGCATCTGCAACTTTGGGCTTAAACTTTTAATTGTATTTAATTTTAAGTAATTTTTTTTCTGATGCATCCACTGTGACTTTATTTTTTTTTCCTTCCAGATTAATATAAGGGTACAAACAATTAGGTTACAATGTTTGTGTTGTTACATAAGGTCCCTGTTGTAGTTGTGTCCCATACCCAGGAAATGTGCCATATACCTTTACATTGTGCCCATTATGGGGGAACATACTAGTCCCCCAATCCACCCTATACCTCCTCTGGCCTCCCCCCAACTTGAATTGAATTTCATTTTTCTCTTGTGTGGACATTTATTAGTCGGTCAACTGGCTTCATATTAATACTGAGTACGTTGGATACTTGCTTTTCCATTATTATTTTTTTTTTTTTTTGTAGAGACAG